ACAGTGATCGAAAAGCAGTTACTCGAACCCAGACCTTACCAGACTAACGTCCACGCGCGTTTCCACAAGTGATAAATATAATCAGCACGATCTTAAGAGCCGTATTACTGTAATACGGCCTCGAGTACGGTTTACGACTTCTCGGGAAAGAGCCGTGCCAGCATCAACTCTGACTTTGCGTCTCTCCTTCCTCACCCCCACCCTCTGTCCTCGCCGGTTTTACCCCGGTTCGTCCCCTCTCTCATGCCACCTCTCCTATCCTCCGCCACAAGTGCGGGGGATGCGAAGTGGCCGTTCAATCCCCCCGAAGATCACTGCGCGTGATTGCACTTGTAAGCCAACTTGATCTTACAGCCTCAATGTCAGCGGTGGGTATCGCACTAGTGATGTATTTGAGCTGTGGCGTCTGATTCTGAATTTCGAGAGAGGTTATTTGCTAGACGATATCTCAAGTACAAACGAGGTATCGAGAGGACGAGGGGGAGAGAGAGAGAGATGGAGAAAGGTAAGCGGATGAGGAAGGAGAGCACACATCGGATCGCTGTGAAGAATCTTGAAGAAGGTCCGTTATCTTCTTTGCGAGATGACAGGGCGCTAAGAAGCATCGTTCGCGAGATCGTGGCGAGATTTCTTCTTCGCAGAGAGCCATTTTCTCTAGCCAGAAAATAATAACCTTTGAAAAAGGTATTTAGTGGACCTCAGAATTTAAAGTAAGAAGTTATTCAACGAAGCTATTTCAGTACACGAGAGAGAGAAAGAGAGATTCGCACGATACATTTTAAGATTTCTTGAATTCGTCGTGTAAGTTCTTACACGCTGATGACCCTTGGTCATCGACCCTTGGTCGATGGCCGCGTTTGAATTGAAAATTCCGCCTGATTCGAAACGATGCGAAATCCCGCATATAATCAGCGCGGCTATTATATTCAATTCCGAGGATGTGGCCGAGGATGGGGGATAACGCATGTTACAAGAAAATCACAGCGAGCTTTCTCTCTCCGCTCGGCTGTAATTCGCCATTCGGAAAGTCTCGGCCGGCGGGTCGAAAGACGTTCGCCTAATCTCGCGCAACTAGGACCCACGACGACAACACGGGCGGGCGGACGTGTATCGAGAGATATACGAAATAAACCAGTCTCTCGACTGTGTGGTGGGTCCCCTCCCCTCTTCATCTTCTTCTACCAAGTACGAAAGTACTTCGGACCTATAATCAAATTCGACTCCAAACTACCCCCCATTCAGGGAGTGGAGCTCGCGCGATAACTCGCAGACGTTACTTAAGCGCACTGTACCGAGTAGCCCTCGCACACTCACCTTCACCCACTGTATACTTAGTCTTATCTAACATATACGCACGTACACACACAGACACGTACGCATACCGCAACTAAGGAAGTAGTATGTACTTAGGAGCCAAGCTGGCACGTAAGGGCGACGGTAGTCAAAGTTTCGGCAGTTTGTAAGGAGGTACGAGGGTACACACCACGCTCCCTCCGCACTCCTTCCTTCCTTCCTCTTGTTCATCCCTACTCTACCTCTGGACACTCTCTCTCTCTCTCTTTCTCTCTCTCTCCCTCCCTCTGTGCGCTTCGGTTACGGCTGAGGGATAACGTAGTGCGGCTTCGTCGTCGAGTTAGGTCGACACCCCCTCTCAACTCCCCCGCATCTTCTTGCAGGTTCCTCCCGCAGTCATTCGCATCCCCCTACTTCGCCCGCTACCTCACCTCTCGTCTTCTTTATTGTTCTGTTGTTCTCGTCCTTACTCTTTCCCACGAGCGTTCCACTTCCGACGACCACCACCTCCGCCACCATACCGCTTCCTCCCTCGACGTCCTCCTTCTCTCTCCTGTCCCCCCCCCCTCCTCATACGACATTTCTGTCGTTGCTCACCCGCGTTGCTCTTCCGGCCGGATTTATTCGAGAGACAAAATGTGCCGGGGACACTCTTATTCCTCGTACGAAACGGAAAGGAGGAGGGAAGGGGAGGGAGTTTCGTTCTCTCAGAGGCAGAAACGAGGACCCGCGGCGGATCCTACGAGTGCTTCGGCGCACCTGTTCGCCCATAAGGGATGTAATGGTCGACGGTGGACACTCGGTGGGGAGGGGGAGGAGAAAAAAAAGAGAAGATTCTGCGGACGGAGAACGAGAAAATGCGACGCCGCGTAACAAGCCCTCGCCTCTCACGACGACGGGCGACAGTCGGGCAAAATAATTGAACACACTCGGCGTTGTTAATTTATTTTTCTAGTGGCGTGCCCCTACCCAGACGCCTATCTGCCTGCCTGCCCGCACTTCGCCTCTTACATCGCTGATAATAGGCTCCTGATTGGTTTATCCGACGGAATCGGGCACAATTCCTACGGATGTCTAATGATAAGGCCGAGCTGCAACGAGCGAAAAGATTTTTCGTAACTATAAAATCGCACATCTGATTTTTTACAAAAAATTGTTATAAAAATTCAATATTATGATACAAATTGTAAGAAGAAAGTGACAAAATGGTGATTAATTTTTGCTAAGAAAAAGCAAGCTTGCCGAAGGATGTTCCAGACGTCAAGTAAGATATGATATTATCGCGAGTGTTACGATTGCATCCCAATGACAATTAAATTGAATCTGCCCCGCGAATCGCCCGCATTAAACAAACCGTGTAAAGTCGCGATTCCTGTCGATTTACTCCACTCATTATTACAACCGGTTTGACGGGCTGTAAGTTGCCGGAAAATGTAAATATTTCAATCCGCGAATTGCGCCACCCCGCCAAACATTTGCTTTTTGCTGAACGTTCTACCGTTAATTAATTCCCTTCATTATCGGAACTGCATTACGTGTACATATGTACACGTAGGTGTGTAAGTATGTTAGCGTACGTGAGCGCGGCTTTCTATTATTTTAGCTGCCACGCGAAGTGACTGTAATTAGACGAAAATTGTAATATTAAAACCACGCCGGCTTTTTCACAGGACGACCTATATTTTCACCAGCCATTTCATCATATTTGTTTCATAATTTATATTCCGCATTTTATAACAATCCCGAGACACCGCGTAACGAGATATTCTCGCAACTTTGCACAAGTTACATACAACCGAGGCCACAACGGCACGTGATTTTATGTTTTTTTATTTTAACAATTTAATAACGGCTAAATCGCGAATGGGAAAAATTAATATTTATAGTATTAATTTTTGAATTTTTTTCCCTTTATATGGAAGACCATTTACATTTAAATGCCCCATCTGTCGACAAAAGACGACGGATAGAGCGTGAAATTTAATTGACAAACAGAATAATTGATAAATGGAATATGAGAATTAAATTAAATTACAAATATTGGTATTTATTTTAATAAAACGCGCGTCGTTTTATGACTTATTAAATACGCACACACACATGCGCGCGTGTGTACGCTGGAAATTTTATCAACTGCTAAAAGAAGAAGGAAAAGTTGGCTTGTGAAAAGATGACTGCGACTGTGTGTCGCAATTTTGCATTAAATACACGCACGCTATGCTCGTAAATTCGCGACACGCAGTAATTACTGCGTTATAGAGACCCATATGACGCCGGCATCATCGTGCGAAATGATGTTAACGGCGCTTCCAAACCGCCTGATAATTCGGTATTCTCTCCGCTCATATAATACCGCATTCAAATAATTGTATCGTATTTTCTAAAACAATGCGGAATCGCCATATAGCGCGTTCAGTAGTGTGACGCACATCCGGTCCATTTCAATAATCGCACTTGCATTGCCGGCACGTAAACATTGAAACGCGAATTCGATTAGAATCGCTATATAGAAATTGGAAATGTCCCATGTGAGTACCGTCGAACCGTTAATCTTTTCGAGTTAAAGCTAAGAAAAAAAAAATTCAATCATTCGCAGCATCGAGAAATGTTGTTTTTACTTGAGCCTCGCCCCGAGAATCATCGTGAGGGAAATCCTCCGCAGAGGGAAGCGGAAAACCATCGCCGTCACCGCTGCCTCCGTCATTGTCGTCGTCGTCGTCGTAAGAATCCCGCGAAAGTTAGCCACGTGTAACATACAGTTCCCCTCGACTTATCCCATGGAGGATATCCGTGTGTTCGATACTCCGGAGTATGAAGAGTGCTTACAGACCGTGGTGAACGAAAACGGTTAACAAGTTGACCATGCTCGTGCCAGAGGAGAGGGCAAGGCAGGGGGCGCGTTGAATAATGTAAAATTTCATTTCAGCCTGCCTCTTCGTCGTCATTGACGGTAGCGGCGTGCCGTTGATTCGATACTCCCGTGAAACATTTAACGCCCGTGAAATTTCCCAGGCGATTTCCCGCGCCGTGGATACGCGTGCGGGCCGTTCGTTCGCTACCCACCACGACGCTGCTCGCGTCGATCGTCGGAAGGGTGAAACACTGGCCAAGGGAGATCAAGGGAAGGAGCCTCTCTGAGCGACCGGAGGGAACACGTTCGCTCTTTCCGCGATTCATGCCTCGAATTTGCGGGAAAGGGAGGTAAAGGAGGAAGAAAAAGGAAGCGACGAGAGGAAGGAAAAAAAACGTCGCCCTCCTCCGTAACGCGAGATACCGTTTCTTCGGGGAATAAGCGAGACGACGAATGCGGAGCGAGTCGAATGAAGAGAGAGAAGGATAGATAGATTATGAAGGCTGTTGGAGAGAGAAAAAAGTCAGGGAGGGAAAAGGGATAAGAGCAGCCGGGTGTAGACAGTGGGTTGGAACGCCAGTGAGCCGCGCTCTACGGATTAATGGAGGTGCCTCGGCGGTGCACTCGCCGGATATGTCCGGATGGCTCGTGAGATATTCCGAATATCCGGACAGATTATGGGATTCTCCTATTTTTTGTCACGATCCTTTTCCACGCTTCCCCTCCCTTCCATCGTCTGTCCGCTTGATCACCCTATCTGCCTCTTTGTTTCGCGCGCGCGTGACCAGTTTTCGATGTACCTTCCTATCCTCCCCCCAGAATTCAATGAGAATAAATTGGGAAATAGACGGCATACCTGGTGTCGTTGAAGACCTTGTCCAAGGCGAGTCTTAAGGAATGCTCATCCAGGTTGTTGAACGCGACCATCTCGGCGATACCTCTGTTCTTCGCCGCGGCTACGTTGTGGAACTGATCGCCGAACATCGGCATCAGAATCATCGGCACACCCACATAGATACTCTCGGAGAGACCAAGGAGCCCACCGTGACCCAGGTAGCACTTAACGTTCGGGTGATCTGAAATGCAATAAAGATACGATATGTGGTAAATTAGTAATTTTGTACAAAGCATAATCAGCGACTACGATTAATTAAATGGCAAATGAAAATTTACGACAAAGGAAACTTACGTCAAAAAAGAGAAGAAAAGAAGAGAGAGGATTAATTGATTTGCTTTATCGCCTGAAATGAATTGAAATATTGTTTCACAGCGATACGAGCACTGTTGATATTCTAGCCAGCGGCCGGAAAGTCGGGGTGGGAGCAAGTGCAATAGCCTTTTCGATGGTGCTGTAAACAACGGTTCCATTTACAAAGCCGACACACGAGGGGCGCACGCTGGAAATATTCAAATCGCAATTTGCACTAAAAATGTCGGAGACACGGAAAGAGTGTCCTGTTGTAACGCGTTACAAATGACTCGGATCCTAAATGGAATTGCCAAAGAGCGCGTAATCTTCCACGCACGACGAGCTCTTAATTGATTAATTACGCATACACTAACGCTCCGCGCGTTCAACAACGAAGAATCCATAATTTACAATGCAATTAACAGACAAATTACGGGGTTCGACGGTGTAATTCGTAATTGATCGCAAATTACGAGTTTAATTCATTAACAACCGCGTATCGCGGCGATAGTAGTCGTGTACCGATACGATCGGGAGCGATAGTGTCGAGAAAACAGATAAAAATAATCGCCCGCGATTATTGATACGACATCCCTCTAACAATGTCAACGATTTCACTCCCGTGTGCCCCTCTCGTTTATAAATATGTAAACATACGTATACATATGTACATATGCCAAAATCAACATTTTCATGTTACTTTGACACTCTTCAAGAAGAAGCTTACTTAAAGATAGCTTAATTAGAGATAGCTTATAGATTAGTAAGAGAAACCTACTTTGATATTATTAACCTTTAATTACACTTTAATGATTTCACTTTAATGTTACTGCAAAACAATTTATTTTGGCGCTAAGAACTAAATCTTCATAGTTAAAATAGGGGAATAAATTATATCATTAGATTTGACATATAAAACCTATTTTTTTTTTACCTCCTACCGTGTTATAGAATTAAAGTGTTCACTCTCGAGTGAATCTTCACTCATTTGGCGTGACGTTTCACGCCGAGAAATTAAAGAGTGTAGTACGTTTTATGTAACTGTGAAATTGTCTAATACCAGACTTGTTATCGAACTTCGTGACTTTGTGAATTCTCCGCGGTTCCCGTTGTTTAATTTCAAAATCTAATCTTGGTTGATAATCTCTAATATGTAAACATGAAAACGATGTCACAGAGAGAGAGAGAGAGAGAGAAGGGGAGAAAGAGAGAAAATGAGCGAGACGACGGGAGTGAACGGGGGGTGATTCTCGGGCGTAGTCGGGAAAGGTTTAACAGTGATTTATGTTGCCGTCGGGTCGTTAGCGAGTTGCCTAATTAAAGTCGTTTCACTCGACAGAGGCCGAGCTGCAAAACTGCTTACGCGAAAATTCTCGCAGCAATCTCGCCTTCTACCACGTTCTATCACGACTCCGTATATCTTCCCTCCCCCTCTTCCCCCTCCTTTCTCACTCTCTCTCTCTCTCTCTTTCGCCAACCACCACGCAGGCCACACGGGGCGAACTATCCGCGGGCAAATGACCCGGACACCGCTAAAACTGCCGAAATATTCGAGACATGTTGTTAGAACCGCCTAGTATCATTCGATTTTGCATCAACGACGAGTTGCACCAAACATCAAATTGTTTTCCTAACACGCGAACATTCGCATCGACTCCACGAGTCATGAAAAAATGAAATGCCTTACGTATCATCTTTTACCGTGGAAATTTACTTTGCAAAGCCGTTTTCCAGTTTTCTGTTCTGAAACGCACAGAACTGTCCAGGCGGTTTTCTCTGTCGTTTAAAAGCCAAAACTAAATATTCATATTATTTGATAAATGGCAATGGCAAATTCCCAGCGTCCAATTAACTCGTCCGATGGCGTGTATCGCTGTTTTGGCAGATTGGCGGGGATCGTTTTCAAACAGCAAAAGCAGCTCCTAAAATGTGCCCGCTTTCCAGGGTCAGCCCAGAACTATTTGACGCTCGCCCGTCCGCGATCCGAGTTGAATAGCGAATACCGTGGCTACCGTGCCGATTTCGGAGATTCGAAAGCCGCTTTCGATGTTTCGTACGCGATTCAGCGCGATTAGTTTCGCCCCACGCGGAGAATCCGGGGCTGTTTCCGGAAGTATTCCAATTTCTCACGGTCATCGTCGATAGACGCGTTTATTCGTCGACTCAGGTCAAATATAACACATGTCCACGCGTACACATGTATAAGTAATCATCATACGTTGCATGTGCGGCCGTCGATCATTATGCGAGCATAGTATTCGAGGGCAATAGAATATGTCAAACAATATCTAAAACGGTCGAATGAATATTTTAGCGGGGCATAACCATTGCAAATTGGCGTCTAATCTTTCCCAAAAATGGTCGCATAACTTACGGAAATGGCTGTCGCGAAGCGAAACCATTTGCAATCGTAATCAACCCTCTCGCGTGTATTTGTTACGCGCAACAAAACTATTGCTCTGAAAGTCCATAAATTAATATAATTCGCATGGATAGCGAGTACATTAAAATTGCTAAGTTACACATAGACAAAAGAAAAAGAGAGAGAGAGAGAGAGAGAAAATAGACTTGTAGATCAAAATAAACGCATTTTTAATGCAACATAAAAAAAATATAATACCAAAAAGTTGATAAAAAATTCCTAAAAAATTCTTAAAACATTCTTAAAAAATTCTCAGAACTCTATGAAAAGAAAATAAACAATATTTGTTTCTTGCTATTTTTCTGTAAATTCGATAAAATTCGAATAAAAAATTATTGAAGAACCAATCATTTTAATAGTTATTTTTCTAAATATCTTAAGTATCTTAAATATCTTTAAAAAAATAAGAAGTACGAAAATATTTTTCAGACAATAGTTGTTTGTTTCTTTTTTTTGCGTAGAATAAAATTCCGCAATAAAAAAGTTTTTTAATTAACATTATTGTAGAACGTAATATGTTAACGTAGTACACGTATGTAGATATACATATGACATATATTATTTTGAAATATTGCAACTTGAAAGTATAATGAAAACGAGCTATTCTTCACTCCAAATATCGCGCGCTATTCATTTTTATTTATTTCTTTACGCGCTACTTGTCTCTTCCAAATATACTACATGACTAGTGTTCACACATAATTTAGTTCACATGAACACTCTATCGAAAGTGTGTTCGAATCTTTCGCCTTACTAAATTGATGAGTTTTATATACTAAAAACTAGATCCTGAAAAAATTCTGGAAAAATTGTCGAAAGTCTCTATTTTTTAGAGCTGTTACACTAGAATTTTCCTTTTAACGTTTATCTCTCACATCAGAATTTTAATCTGTTTCTCAATTTAATTGTAAAATTAAAGTATGCGAATGACTTCGCATCATAACGAGTCGCATCATAATAACGACCGAGCAAAAGTCTGATGATATTCCAAGTACTTCTTAAAAGGAACACTACCACGTGATTGTGTCTCCGATAATACGCTCTACAACTCTAATAGTTTACTACGTAATCCCACTTGCGACACAAGATATAGCATGATCTGCGTTATATAATCATGCGGATGTTTATGAACACAAGTGTGTGTGTGTATGTCTACGTATATTTATAAAATTATTCATAGAATACATTCATCATACGCGCAAATTTATATATATATATATATATATATATAAATTTGCTATATATATATATAGAATAAAATAAGTAAGTTATATTTAATTATATTTTCCCATATTTTATGTCTTTTGCACGCAATTTATTCATTTATTACATTATGTATGATTGGTTTAATTATGTTATAAATAAAATAAAACAAATTCATTTGGTTATTTTATTCTATTTATATACGCTCACTTTTCACGGCCAAGACAAAATATCGAGATAATACAAATACCATATGTTTAACATACAGATATGTTAGAAATTGAACAGAACAATTTCAACGAGGATTTTAACACAAATACGAAATGTTTTCTCACGTATACTAACCCGAAATTTATAACTCCCGACTTGTTTTAAAGACTTACAATCTTAATTTGATTTTTAGAGCCAGTAATTCGATTTCCTTCAAGAAAAGTGCGTCTATTTCGTTCATTGTCACGTACGTATAACTTATTTACGTTCATTGTCACGTACGTATAACTTATTTACGTCGTTTGTATGAGTCACGATCTCTTAAAAAAAACTATGATAAGAGGAAGAAGTATTTGTTCGTCTTTTTTCACTTACTCAACACGTCGAATTGAGGTATCCACTTCTTGACCATGACGTTATCCAGTTTACGCGGTAAGACCTCGTTCTCCCACTTCAAAAGCACTTTCCGCGGAATCGAGCCGAGTACATTGAGCAACACATCCAGCTTCTCCCGCGGTATCGTCGACATCTTAATCATCGAACCCAGATTGAAGTAGAGCACCCCCTGGTGCGCATTGTCTAAGAATTCAGCTATATCCTCGGGTAACGGTTTCACCTGAGTAGGAATGTGGATGCCGCCGATCTCGACAATGTTGGGCAACTTAGGTACGCTACCGTGGAGACTGTTGTGAGTGTTCACCAGCAGGGCCTGTGTTTGCCTAGCAATTTCTTTCAAGCTGGGGAGATCCGGCCCGAACGCTTCGTTGGCGACAGACTGATCGCGAAATCGGAACCAACAGTTGTAGGCCACCTTGGCGATCGACAATGACAGCATGTTGTACAGTCTACTGAGGAAATTCATGGGTTTGTTCAGCCCTAATAATGTAATCGGTATGTAACTGGGATTGTCCTCGTTGCCCATGTCCGAGTTGACCCACGGCATGATCTGATGCGTCGATATGGTGATATACGGCGCCTTGAATTTATGAACGAAACCTAAGAAGCAGTCGGTGTTGAAGGTCTCTATGATGATCAGGTCGAACTCCTCGTCGGACCGAAGGAATTCCCGGACGGCCGGATGCCGGAGGCCGGTCTTGCACGCCATGTCGGCCATGAAACTCAGAAACATGAGTTCATATGCCGGCTGAAGGATATTGTGCTTGATCATATGAATGTCGACCACATCCAGATAGACGCCGTGATCGGGGTCGTATATGCTGATGTCTTTGTAAGTCGGCAACGGCTCCTTCGCCTTGGCGTCCTCGCTCCTGGGAAAGTGCGAGACGACCGTAACACGGTGGCCACGGCGCGCCAGCTCCTCCATGAGCGGCTTGAACACGTCGAAATGACTTTTGCCGAAGTGGCCGAAGATCCCGAGTATCTTTAGCGACGATTTCGTCATGTTGACGAACGTATCACCGTCGTAAACGGCGGCCGAGCAAACCGACGACGACGAAAATACCACCACTACGACGGTCAGGAGGTACACGGTGGACAAATATATCCGCCGGCGACTAATATCGCGTGTCATGGCTTTTCACTTTCTTTGGTACGAACGGATGTAATGCCGTGAACAAGTCGATAATTTCGCTGAGCGGCGATAGACCTTCGCCGTGGGTCTTCGCCGACGCAACTGGCAATCAATCAACCAACCGTACAATGCGTGCTACGATACTACACGACGTGTCGTAACATCACGACGTGCGGTCGATGGTAGGGGTTCACATGCTCGTGTTCTCGAAGTCAACACTTTGACAGTCACGTATTCATCATGACTTCTTTGATACGTTGCGACAGTGCTCGATTAAGCATATTTCTGAACTATGCATAGCACCATATATTTACTCACTCTTAATCTGCATCAACAAGTGTCTATGAGATAAATACCATCGTGAGGATAAGCACTTATCGTGAAGAGACGACATGAAGCAACTGAACTGAGCTGACTGAGAAAAATGGAAATAACTCATGCAATTTCTCGTGAGATCAAGAGACGAGAATCCTCGTGCGAATAACCGTCAAGTTACAAAATCCACAAGCATACTCGCAGATTATCCAACATTTGCCATTATCTGAATTAAATGTATTGGAAAGATTAATTATTAGTAACGCTGTTTATGGAATGAATAGGATCATTCCGTGAATATTTATTCGAGAGGAAATTTCTCGAAAGGGAAAAAGTATTTATCGATTTTCATCGTGTGAATAAAACTGGTAAAATTAAACGTGCCATTCTACGTATTTATGAAAATTAATTAGAGAAGTTACTGGAGTACTTGCGTGATATCACGTGGCGCAAAAAAAACATGCCGATAAATCCGTGCAGTCCGATAGTGACTACATAGTCGGATAGAAATCCATATGTTCAAACGAATTCATGTTATCACGAATCAACATGTGGTACCGTGAGCCTTAAATATTTACATGAGTTGAAAATATGACATTACGTATATTATGCTTAGTTACAGAAAAATGTTCATCATAGTACTTCTATCACGATAATATTTATTTATCTCCTATTTCTTATTTATATCTTTTTATATTTCCTATTTATATTTATATCTTCTAATTTATCTGAGACTGTTATTGCATATTCTCATCGGTGCAAGAAAAATCTACCTTTTTCCCCTTTCTCTTTCCCTTTCTTTTATTCATCGATGAAAATATTTTCTCCAAAACTTCAAATATTAATAAAGAATATATCTACTTCGCACATACTGCATAAAAGAATTTTTTGTTATTAAATTTCTCATCGTCTACTAATATTACGTACAATGTTGACTCTTCCACAATATTAACTGTTACTATTTAACGACTTTGCGATATCGATCTGTTTTACGTCAGAGGGAAGATAATGGAGAAGTTAATAGAGACCAATAAAGTAGAGCCTATGAAACGAATTGACTCAAAGCCAAACTTAAACGTATTACGCTATACACTTAATTTAAAAATATTTACAGTTAATTTTTCAATATGTACAGTTTTCAGGTTTTATATGTACCAAAGTCTTCGTCTAATAAATCTTCCATAAGCGATATAAATATTCAAATAATTGAACTGATATTCCATCATCTATATTTTCATATCGAGGTCCACTCTCTCTCTTTGTCGAGCTAAAAAATTACTACAACGGGCATCCAAATAGAGAGGGAGGGTCAAGGAGACCGTAACGCGCAATCGTGACGTTAATTGTATCTGGAAGATCGACACGTAGCTAAGGCAAAGACGATCGTCGAATACCGCACCAATGTTGAAGCAACAAACTTCAGCATCTCCTCCTCGACGTGGGCGAGAATGACGACAGGAGGAGGTAAACCACAACGTCATCCTTAAGTGTCATTAGAGTAATTACCGCCCAACACGTCTCCCGTCTTCATCGCACGTATCATCTTGCACGCGTAATTTTTGAGAAAAATCTTGGCTACGAGATGCCTTTTCCGTGTTACACTCTCTCTCTCTCTCTCTCTCTCGCTTCCTGAATAATGCAAAAGATTTATGACGCGGAAAAGATTCTTGTGCGTCCGCGGTCCGTATCTCTTTACGCTTCCTTTTCATGACGTGTTACGCGGAAAAATTAAGTGAAACACGCAGCAAGTATGCGCCACGAGAAGCAGCGAATAATATTTACTAATGAGCGCATGGGAAGCGGTGGACGGAACATAAACCGAAAGAAAGATGTTTCCGACCGACGTGCGACCGTAACACCTGGGAATTGTGACTCATCTCGTTGATTTCTGCCCTTAGTTACGAAACATAGCGGCGCGCATGATATGCTGACACATGCGCGTAACATATGTGCCAATTGAAATGCCGAAACGAAGCGTTTCGACCCCGTAGATATGCGCATGTAGAGGTGTGAGCGTCTGCGCAAATTTAACGTCGATGGCACGTTGACTTTGCTAATAATTTATCGCGATAATTTATTCGCCATTCTTGCCTGACGGATCTGCCGTAAGACGGATGATTTGTGTCGAACGTTTTCGCGCAAAAATGGCGGATGTTCCGCTCACGCGGAACGATCGGTCGAGAAGAGTTTTTAAATTTAGCGGTTCGGATCGAGTGGCTGTACGCTTGCATAAACCGAAGCGGTTATATTTCTTGTTCTTCGATAAAACGCCGCCATCGCTGCGAGAACTCTCGGCTATTTTGTATCCATAGCGGTGACGATGCGCCGTAACGTGTACGTAATATCGTTCACGAATCCGTCACGATGAGCAAACGGAAAATGGAGACGGTTAGTTTGATCCGTCGAACGAGGACGGACCGCTCCGTTGATTACAAAATGCAATTAATTAACGATTATTTGTAATTTGGAACTCGCGCCGGCGGTATCACTGCGAGCGGAAAGTTGCCGGAATCTGCGAGCGCCCGTGCTTATTTAGCAGAGCGAGAGGCTGCGAATAGCTGCCGTATAACTTTCCCGGGACTTCGTCGCGAGACATGTCAGCCATTTCGGCTAACGCTCGTCACATTGTACACTATACATACACAACAGGCGTGCTGTATCTTGTCAATTTACTTGAAGTCCGTACGACGCACACCAGCACGAGGATAGCAAGCTCGACCGCAGAACAGCGTCTTGTTCCTTGGCGGTGCCTTCGCGCTCGTCCCCAACTTGGCCGGACGAGTTAACCGAAGGGATTATGCTCGAAATTTTGCGGACCACGTTTGCCGAAAGTCCTGAGAGGATTAATCGACAGGGCGCTTTACAGTTAAGGTGAGCGTCGCGGTTACGATTAATGAAGCAACTATTGTAAATCGTCGAAAGTGTCAAATCTCGATTTCGTCTCGGACAATGAGAGTTTCTATTAGACAAATCGGAAAAAGTTCGTGCGGTTTCCTTTCTTAGCGATTGAATCGAAGTCGAATTTCGGTCGGTGCATTCGCACTTGTAATACGTAAGGTTGGTGTCAACAGAAGGTTACATTCATGTCGTCGGTCATACACGATGCGCAATTGTTTCAACATTCCGTTGTTCATGCGAGGTTAAAGACGGATAGCGAAGTTAAAAACTCGCGCTTTCCCGTTTTATGAGTTTAAATTTGGAGATACAGCAGCAAAGATTATGTTAATATTACATATTTAATATTAATATATTATGTCAATCCATGTGATAATTTTTATTTCTCATAATATTTATTTATGTCTTATCGCAATAAGTGTTTAATTGTCTATCGGAATTTATTTAAATCGCTTCCTTGTACTACTTAGAAAACTTCCGCATACAACTGTAATATTACTATAATAACATAATTATCAAAGGCGGGCTCCGATATCACACACAGATGATTGGCTAAATTAATATAAAATTTCCTAATTGGCGGTCCAGCAGAAAGAGCCGATGCGAATGAAATATCGCACCGTGCGCTAACGAGACCCTCCCATTATCAGTAGCATACAAGATTAAGTACAGATTATTAGGTTGTTGTTAGATAATGCAGATTACTTCCATGAAAAAATTATACATGTTTTTGATCAAGAATCTACTTAATTGTATTTTTGTTGTGGTAATTATTTAATTAAGGTAATAATACAACGACGCGTATACATCCTCACACGACATGTATATATCTTTTCAGCACTTTAACACATTTTTGAGGTCGTTTTTGCCGTTATTTATTTAAATTTCTCTTAAGAATGTTAATAAAAATCTATGAGAAAATTATGAGCACTCTTTTCATCATTTGAGTGTGCACACCCATGAAAACACACACACACACACACACATGCACGTATACATTATTTCGTGTACACAGCCTTAGCCGGAGTAATATCTCGAAATCCATTAGCGTCGCCTCCGCGGACCGCAATCTTGATAATTCCACGTGGACTTGGGCGGGAGTGCGGCAAGCGAGCAAGAATCACCGCCGGAATGCGGAATACACACATTGGCCAAATAAGCGCGCGACCGAGAAGGGACCGAGAAATAGAATACGGGAGATGAAACGCGAGGTCGAAGCGAGAGAGAGTGTAAGTTGCATGAGAAGAGGAGAGACGAAGATGAGCGGATAGAATTGCCAAGAATCAGAGAAAGGGACGGAGAGAAAGACATGATGAGAGAGAGAGAGAGAGAGAGAGAGAGAGAAAGACTACCGAGACGTATGACTCCCCAGGGAAATTTAGGTGCGACCTCCATGTATCACCGTACCCACCGTAAGTAGCTACATAACCGTACGAACCCGCATACGTGCTTGTTGCCGGCGCGCACGATTATGTAGGCTCCCGCGCGAACAAACGCGTGCCGAGGTAAGGCCGGAAGGTACCTTTCCGGAGGATTGCAACGAGAGACGGTGGGAGGATTTTACACGCCGCTCTCACGGAGGGAGTGTTATCAAGTGTACAAATTATTTTCATGAAATTCAAAGTTTATTCACAAAAAGTCAAGTACAAGTTTGACGTTTCTTTTTTTCTTCTTTCTAAATTCTCAATTGCGTTGTATCTCGTTTCGCCTGCGGTGAGCCTGCTTCCCCACCTCCCACTTATTCTGATACCTTTTAGTTTTTCTTATATTAGTTTGTTTTTCTTTTCTCGTACCGATTTAAGGTGCAGCTTACCGCTGATTGTAGAGTTCTCCGTTTCTGGCTTAGTGATCGCTTCTTGTGTGTATCATCTCTGTAAGCTCAAGGGGTTTGAAACTCCCAGAGTATTGATAAATCAATCGATCAATCTCTCTCTCTCTCTCCTTCCCTTTTTATTTTTTTTTCTTTCTGTTCGTGCCAGTAATGCAATCGCACTCGATAACTAATAACCGCGAAATTCAGATGATATTCCCTAAAGTCAATCCCGCCATCGTTGCCCTCCAATCTGTCTCTTGCAAAGTGAGAAGAATCGTCGGGGCGAAGCGACCGCGAACGAATGGAGGGAGAGCGAATATACCGGTGAAATGGTAATAAAATCGATGCTCCGGATCTGCTTCAGTTTATAATTGAATCAAATTAATCACCCGGACCGACCTCGAGTTCGCATTCCTGCCGTCGATTCATCCGCAGCCATCTCCAATTAATAGCGCGGCCGTGGACGAAGGAGAGCGGAGGGATGAGAGAGGGGGAGGCGGGTGGAAGGTCACCCCGTTTCGTTTGGAACTTCATAAAACGAATTCAATTACCGGTGACCGTTTGTCAAAGACTCAAAGCCACCGAAATGTTTCAGTGCCGTTTGTGGAAATGACGCGATCCGCCGATCGTGTGTTTTTTCGCTCCGCCGTTCTCCCGCTTGTCAATAGAAGAAAATAAACGGAGCCCAAGCGAGCAGCCCCTCGCACGCACGGTGGAAATCGCGCGTGAAATCATCACACTTATACGAGGACCGCGTGCTGAATCGAAAGGTACATATGCGAGAAATGTGATAATTTTGCTGCAATTTTGAAAAGAGATTCTATTAATCTTCCAATAATATTTTAATGTAAAGTTATATTGGAAGGTTAGTGGTATATATCGGTAACTTTCTCGTTAAACTAAGTAAGGTTGTAACCTCGCTGTAACTTTTAGTATAATGTGCTATGAGGGATGTTAACATAAATGAAAAATCGGGAAAGTTGATTTAAATTGTACAGTTTTTTCGACAAACTAATAACTTAAATTTCTCGTAAATCTCTCTTTTTCCCACTCCTCTCTCTCTCTCTTCGTCTCATTGATTTCTAATTAATTAATTTATTACTACTAATGAACTAATCAAATGAATAGCTTAAAAGAAGTAATTATTAACCATAAATATTAATAATTAATATCAATGAATGATAAAGATTAATAATTATAGTTTTGAGATTGCACAATATTTTTGGCGGTATAATTCGTCTATTTGTTGTTAACATCACGTTATAGTCAGAAAGAAGAATAAATTATTAACACTTGTCGATGAGCACCGCCATCTACTTAATGTTCTTTTTTTCTTGTAAACAGCAGCATTTCTCTAAAATATTAAAAAATATTCTCTCGTGTGACATTCCTTCCTTTATATCTAAATAGATAATGTTAATTCATAATTGCGTTGCAGATGTACAGTAAAATACTATATATATATATATATATAGTATTATATTATATTATATATATATATATATATATATTGTATTTTACTGTATATACATATATATATATATGTCCTAAAAGCGTTATATATTTTAGCTCCATAAATCGTGCTTACGGAAATTCGTGCGTTCTAGTTTGGCTTCTGACTTAACGTTAAGTTCTACTTTATATGAAGCACTTTGCGAATCACGAATGCCCGTACAAACAAGTTACCGACAATATATATTCAGTTCATTCATACAAGCTATTTAATTAAGCCTTTTTGATAACTTTCATGGGCTCCGGTTAACCAGCAAGTCGGCTCTATTCCTCAATAACTGATATAGTCAATTAAAAGAGAATTAATTAGACTTAGTTTTACATTATGAAAGAGTTCTTTTATACACGGAACCTTTATTTATATCAAGATTTTAATGATTTTTCTGCATTAATCATAGAAAACCGTCTTGTATGTCCGTGAAAGTTTCACAAACAAAGGTTCCATTAAAGGCAATATGTTGAAATCTTGTTCGTATTGTTTCTATATAAAGCACATAATTAACAAATATAAAACTTAATAAATTCTATATATTTGGGAATAAATATAAATGTCTATTGTTATTATTTAAAAATCATTATTATTACTATAAAATTCTCATGACGTGATTTTACTCAAATTCCTTTTAACCTTAAAAAGTACGCTACTTTAAATAAAAAATATAAACATGGCATGACATGTAATGTTATTTGGAAAAATTTATTTTCAAAAATCACAAATATATCCAAGAGATAACTACAATTTTGCATTCGTAAACGAGAAGGTTCCAACATTACGAATATTCACTGACACATCAACAAAAGTTGAAGAGATTGAAAAACGATTCTTTCAACCCTTGGCATTTCAGCCTGTTCTGTATTGTACGGTTCTGCTTGACAAATCGGTCTCATGCTACAGGTGATTTGTCTATGGACGGTGGGTACCAAGCACGTTCTCCGCGATCTGACTCTATTCGCGCATGCAAACGCTGAAAACCAGAGGCTCGAGCCTTTCTAATGCATTACAAGAGCTTACGAAATGCCAAGCGAACTCTAATGGAACGTCGTTCGAGAATTGTGTTACTCTACCAACTATTATGCGGAAAGTGCAGGAATCGCAGTGACAAGTCGCCAATAATAGAATACCAACTTCCCGTACGTGCGTCGGTGTGTGTGTGTGTGTGTGTGTAGACCCTGTGCCGAAAATAAAAATGCTACCCGACAGATGCGGACCTTCTTCTGTCGGTGTTATAGAAACGAACACCAGGAATGGTGTCGAATCCCGGAAATCGAAACGTGTACATGTACGCGCGTACACATACATATATGTACATTTTGATTACGACGTTAATTCACAGTGTGGATAAGCGTCATTGGTATGTCGATGCACGATGAGATCTATCCTATCTTTGTGCTGCGACAGGAAACCCGAAATATCGGTCAATGATTACCCAAGTGATAACTCTACTCGCTTATCGCATATATATATATATATATATATATGTCGTACAATATACAACATTTGGGACACCGTGGAGCCAGTCTAAAGTAATTTCGGCTTGTCGACGTATTGTTTGCCGTGATGGATAATGGTGGCGAAAGTGCCGGCGACCATGCCGCCCCAGAATAGCATGTACAGCAAGACCTCCGTTGTGTAGCGCGACGGCAAGATCACATGGGCGATTAGCATCGAAGACGCGACTATGAGAACAAGTGGGAATGTAGCATAGCGCCAGTTTCGTTCGGACTCCAAAGGACATTGAACGGAGGTACACTCGCCGTCCTGGACGATGTAGCGACCTAGGAAGAGCTCCAGCGAATCCTGTGCTCCACACGAAACATAAATTAGTCCCGTCGGGGAAAAATACTTGATAATTTCTCCACTCACCTGTCTGTAGCCGTCGGCGAAGTTGTTTTTATAGTACCTTGTCAGTGAGTTTAAGCCGTCCTTCATAGCGCCTAATTTCGTACGTTTGCCTGTGCGCGTGAAGTCTGTCTTCAACGCACCCGTGCCGGAATATTGTATGCTCACCACATCCGCGTTATCGGCCCAGATCTGAGAAGAGATTTTACAATATTATTCTTATATCTATTTTACAATATTAAAACACAATCCATGACGGACGGAGTTTCACAGATGAACAGTGGTGGCGAACTCGTCAATATCAGAAATTCCAAGAAGGAATTACGATCCTGTTATTATCTCGGAAAATCTAACGGGATTCAGCATACCTGCTTGAAAAGGTTTTCGAACGCAGGGTGATCCTCCACCTTCCTGAGCACTTCCAGTCTGCTTAACACCTCATTGAGAACTCGCTTAGCCAGCATGCTTTGCACAACGTTCGTTCGGTCCAGGCAGTCGATGCAATTTGTACGAAAAACGCCGTCTTGGACCGAGAGTAGCGCTCCGTCCCTCATCAGCAGGAAATAACCCATCTGTTCTTGATCGTGAGTTAATCGGTCCATTAGATTATTCAGTCTGTCCCACCTTAATCTTCGACATTCCGCGTGAAAGTCGAAAGCCTCATATCGAACGTTTTGGTTGTTGACTCTTTGAACTAAATTGCGATATGCCTCTTCAAGCAGAGCTTCTGGTCCGTGTTGATCGATCTGCTCGAAACACCGATAGCATACATTTGCGTGCTTCTGAATTGATTGTTAAAATTTAAAATATTTAAATATAAAATTCTTAAAATTCTATTTTTCCTTCAATGGCGCAATAGCCCTAGTAGGGCCTACCTCTTTCACTACACATGTGATGCGCACGCAGATTATACACATGCATACGGGACCTACACAGTTTAAACGCCGGTTCCGAACGGCAAATTTTTTGGAAAAAGGTTTACATGGCATGAATACTCTTTAGTGGTTTGCCAGACCACCGAAGAGAAGCTACGAGCGCATGAAAATTTCTCCGACTCTGCCGAAGATCGAACTCGGGACCTCTAAAATGGTAGACCGGTGCGCCATGTTCGCGCTCTAAAATTCTATTAAATTTGTTAAATTAAAAAAAAATGTATTTTTAACTTTAACTTATTGTTAACTTTAAATAGTTTGAAATAAAATTCTCTAAATTTAAAGGATTATATTAAAAGAATTTTAAAAACTAGAGAATTTTTAATTTTCAAAATCTTTAATTTATAAATTTTTACGATTTAAATGTAAATAATTACAAATAATTATTGTGGGAGGATATTTTAGACTTCTTTTCTTAGTAGTTTTAGATTTCTTTTTTAACTCAAACCGAATAAGTCAGAGAATGAAGGTCTAAAATAACGAATCTATATAGATCCTCTATCTATTTACACAGATCCACTGGAGCTCGAGATTAGATAACAAGGAAAACGTGTGAAATATCTACCAGATAAGATACAGTTACTCGAAGAAATAGGTATCCCTTTAGAATAGAAAAAAAGAAAGAAAACTCACCAGATTCACCAAGATCTGCCTTCCATAGTGGAAGATCTGAACGTCGAAGTGCCGTGCGCAGGCACTCTGATGGTCCTCGTGAGGACTAATCTGCGGCTTCGGCTTGTACTTCAAGTTCGGCGCTTGATACCAAAACAGAGGGATGGATCCGCGCGTCTGCACGAAGGAACTACGATCACCGCTCACCTCGATTAGCTGCTCCGTCTCCACATAATTGGATACGTTCCCGGTGGAATCTATGCCGCGCGAGAACAGCCTCGTGCCAGCACGATGTATACCGCGTCTGGAGACGATGCCCCAATTGAACGCTATGCCGTTCACGACCACTGTGTTTAGTGAGACGACTAGAGATTAACAGCGTTAAGGTCATCCGTCGGAAGGACGTGTATAATTCTTTCGGATTCACGCGGCGAAAAGTAGCACGTGTACACATCAAAGGATACAGCCGTGAATAATGGGTAAACAGAACTTGTACTGCTCCGGTCTGGCACTCAAGTCTTGCAGCAAGTAGGTGTTCCACACGAACCTGGGATCTGCCCTGTCGTGAAGCGGCATCTAAACGACACATCGTCCTATTGTCAAACTGTTTATTTGCAATATCACACGGAGAGTTGTGCGTACGTATGTTAGGTGTTACAAATTAATTCAGTGCCCTTCGCATTTAACTGTCTTGTAACTGTCTCTGGTTCGAATTTAAGTTTTCTCCCCGTCCGTATATATATCGTAAATAAACTTTGAATTTCGGGAAAAAGGACACCGAATTAATTTGTGCGTTTGATATATTTACTTGCAAAAATTCAGGCGTCGTATTGTGAAGCCTCTGCATGGTGTGGCTGAGGTCGTACGTATAGCTGAAGTAAAAGTACGGTGTGTTCAAGACAGACTTCACCATCTCCAGGTACATAGCGTTACTTTGCACTTGCTTCTCGGTCAGATGGAGGGAGGACCTTGTATAGGGTATCACCTCGGTCGCAGATATTCTGTAGATCTGATGGCCCGCTATAGTACCGCACATTTGAGCGTCCATAATTGCAATGAGGTAACGACACGCCAAGAGGCGTATCGTCCCAACCAGTCCCCATATCTTCCGACGGCTGGCAGTTGTTGGAATTTGACTAGCTGTACCAGCTGCAACGGGCAATTTTATCGTTAATTCGTCTGATTCTAACAAGTAAGATACAAAATGTGTTCTTTTCAATTAGGTGACTGGATGATAGTCTTCTTGTCTTTAGAATAAGAGAAGTGTACAATCTGGAATTGTAAAGGGGAAAAGAAAAGAAAAACTACGTTCCAATACAGCACTGTTCGGTTAAAAGGAGCAAGCCTGTATTATTATGTAACTATTAATTTACCTTGCGTGTAAATCTGTTGACTCACTCGATCGACCACCAACAGGACTTTGGTCCCGACTGGTTCCACAAAAAATTTCTCAGGAGTGGCATACCTTGGGCGAGACAACAATTTGAAATTAGTCGTCGGTGCGAAAAGATCGGCTCGACAACTTTGAGCATGTACTGTTTCGATATTAATTGACGATGTGTTGTGAAAAATACCGGTTACTCACAGGTACAAATTGTCATAAACGTCCGTGTTTGGCATCATATCGTCAAATAACGAGCGGGTTGCAAAATATTAAGCGAACGGACGTGCGAACGGCGAAATAATAAAAGTAATACCGTAAAAAAGAAACTGACAAGCGGACGAAACGAGGTCCATATATATATATATATACATATGTATATTCAACGCGCGCAAGGATTTATCAACGAAAAACGGATCACGGTGTGAATTGTTAACTTCTTGTCAACTCAGGGTTAACATGATCGAACACTGTCACCATCAGGAATAACCTCTCCAATCCGCCAATTATCACATATCGGACTATCTCTTTTCACTGCGTGCCTCACGATTACCCATTGGTTTGTTCCTCGTTAAGGAATGTGGCGACTCACAGCGGAGATTCTGGAACCATATTACAGAAATAAGGGGAATAAATTTACGAGAATGATTAAATCCGTTATTTCCATAATTTAGTTCCAGAAGAGAATTTTGCAAAGTTAGTGGATTCTGTGAGGTACAGTTCACAATGTTTAACAGTTTATCTAAGATTTTATCCTTGACTGGTAAATATCAACTCCTACCATTTCCCTAATGCGTTTCAAAACTAGAACGAAAGATTCATCGTGTACACTTGAATCCGCTTTCGTTAGCACTCCGGTGTAATATGGTGCACCATTGTGCCCCACTCCCTCAGTCATAAGTGTGGAAAGTTCCTAGGATTCTCCATCGGGGGTGGCCTCCTAGCTGACGGTATCTGAGTAGTAGGGTGATGCGCGCGTACATATCGACAGTGGCTACAACTTCCCCATGCGTAAAAATAACATGTAACTAGTCAGGAGCGAACACTTGTAAACCTAAAACATTTATATATAGCATTAATGGGTTGGATAAGGTTAGTTCCCTATAATCTCTATTTTCGTATATCTCTAATTAAAAATACAAAAAACGAGGTCATGATGTGACTAAACGATAGAGCCGGAAGTATTTTCTATTTCTCAAGTAGTATGACTCAAGGGCTGGTCAGACGTACTTTCCATTGTAATGAAACAGAAAAATATATTCGAAAACTAGAAACTCTAAGCTGCAAAATACATCTTGAATTACCTCACTTATCATTAATTAATTATGCTGAAGTAACAACCCGCTGAATCTATCCTATTCTTCGTGATCAAGAGAAATGACTCTTCAATCTTTCTGCTTTTATTTTTAAACATTACGCTCGCGACTCAACGGCGACCGTAATGGAAACTTGTATTTTCGAGTGAAATGAAACAACACATAGATATTATCGAATAGTAAGAAACAAGACATCGACTTTATACTCATGACAGGCTTTACGTAATTTCGATATTACCGCATCGCGAACAGTCGTCCCGGCAGACTCGACGGAGCATCACCAGATCCACGTCCCAAAGTGACGAATAATGGGGTTCGTGCGGTTAGTACATTTGCTGAGGAGTAAAGACAACGCAGTGATATGGTATTCGCATGATTCACCGTCCCGTAAATCAAGATCGGATCACGACGATAGGTTATGTCCGTAGGTTCGCTGTCAAGTCCACCCTCGCAGGCGGTATTGTTTATTACAGCGTCCAACAGGGTCTGTGGTCCAAGTCCGAAGACAGCGTGCAGTTGTACGGAAAGGTTTACAATAACGTTGCTCCTTATATCAAAGACAACATTCCGAAAAAAGTCGTGAGCGAGGTAGGTGTTGCTTCAACAAATAGATACTTAATGCGTATTCAGTACTAAAATTGCTGAATGCTTATTATTCAATGCCGATGAATTTACTGCTTTGCGTTTCGTCAGAGGTTTTGTCAGAGATTGTATGAGGGGAAAATAATCAGTGAAATATTGTACACAGCTTCCGCCGATGTTGAGTGCCAGCGAGCTCTGCAACTCCGTCAAGTCAACGTGGAACAAGGGAGTCATAGCAAGTATGAAATTCCTATCCGAGACTCCCACTCATGTGAGCAATGGTATTGAGAGTGTCTCAAAAACGATGGGACAGTTCGCGGAGCAGCAGAGGGCGGCTGAGAAAAGTCAATAGTACGAACGATTTCTAGTTTTATTTTGCGGATTTTAGACAAACGTTATGTATGATATACTACCGATGAAATATTGAGATATCATATTTCTACAGCATCTCTCTGCCATATTTACATTTGTTTACAATCTGTACGATACATCGATTCTCTTTAATTTATCGTGTTATCACATGCGAGAATATATTTTATCATGTGTCAGTCAAATCGTAGCTTGCCTGAAAAGGCCGGTAACTATGAATAACACAATTAATTAAGGAAAAATTAATAAATCAATATATATAGCATTTGTACAAAAATCTATGTATGTCTTTCCTTAAATATCAAACAAACCGACGCCAACGTTGCGGAAGTTCGATAATTACATTCAAAACGATTAACAAAAGTATATTAATTTCCTAAGACATTCAAAATGAGGTACCAACCGTGTAAGAGTTGCGTAATGTATGACAATAAATTATCATTTCAGGTCGACAGCGTTTATCATCGATGTTTACACGGTGCTCGTTACTAGTAACGACTCGAGAATCGATTGGCGAGCTTTCTCTCGATGTTCGAGATGCGACGGAAACTAGTAGCGGCAAAAGGCAAAGTCGCGCGTTGGCATTGCGCGATGAGAATTCCGAGTGAACTCTCTCTCTCTCTCTCTCTCTCTCTCACGAGCGAGCGCGCTTTCACTCACGATGATAGATTCCGCTCGATTGCCGTTATCGATCCGGTGTTTTAAATAAACTTTCGACTTACGCGCCGTATCGGCCGCGTGCGCGCGGCGCGGTCGAAAATAGACGCGGCGCGCCGTGTGACGTGCCGCGTCTATTTTCAACCGCGGCGACGCCGACACTCCCGGGCACGAAGTCGTGACTCCGCACACGCGTCGCGACTAAAGGAAAGTTTCGCCCGTCTGGCTTTCTCTCACGTTGACGTACGTCCGATTCGAGTCAGCGCACGACGCTAACGAGGGACCCCAGGAAAATCGCCCCAGGCAAACGTCGCGACATACGTACGTGTGTGTAAACAGCAAAGTATATCACGCCGAGACTGCAGGTCTCGGAGAATCTCACGGCCGAACCAACAGATCGCGGCTGCGCATTTCGTCTCGGCGCGAGTTCCAGTAACGACAGGCGTCTTGATTACCAATTTGCGAACGCGCACTTGTAAAATAGCCGGACGACGCTCGGCGAACACCGGTTGTTCGTGCGGCGGTCATCGCGCAGGCGCGGCGCCGCAGTTCGAAGGTATACGCCTGTTGCCACGATCTCTGTCGCCTCATTATTGCCAGGTAACATTGTCTTCCTTTTGCAACTTTTTTTTCTTTTCTTCATCAATTGTCATCTCGCCAATTTTATGGAGGAAATGGTGATCAGGGAGGACGCAATAAGTAAAAACAAGAATTCGCGGAAATCGCGAGTTGATTTTCATTTGATCAGATTGCCGGGCGCGAGCGATACACGCTCGAAGATATTCGCGCGCGATTATTTCATAAAGAATAAATTATACAGATCTTTGTTTGCGTCGCGCGAATATCCGTCGTCTCGAGCGACGTTTCGCGCAATTCGGCCTATCAGGAGCGACGGCCCGGGGAGCGCGTCAGAAAATTTCAGCGATCATCGCATCGCGCGTTAATGGAAAGTAATCGATAATATCCGCGTTGGGAGCCGCGATGTCAGTCGATCGGCGCAGCGGCCGTGCAACGTTCGTTGGAGTTTCGACGAAGAGGTTATGCGCCGTCGCTCTTAGGCCGCGTTCATTATTTTCTCGCAGTCTCACCGACCGCACCGACATGCGAGAGCCGACCGCAATGGCCGTCCGGCTGCTTGTCCTGTTCCTCGTTGCCGCTCTCGTCTCGCTGTCCGTCTGCGACGCCGCCTCCGCGCACATCCACACGCATCAGCACAACAAGGTCGACAGCAATGAGAGGATGGAGGACGGGGCCTTCAGCCCCCGTGACGCCGATCACTATGCCGAGGGAGAGCATCACCAGGAGTTCGACCATGAAGCCATCCTAGGTATGACCGGCCCACGGCGATTCCCGACGACCTCTCGTCACTCTTTTGTTTCGTCAGAACTTGAAAACTGCGTCTGTCTGCCTGATTTAACCCTCGTCGGGAGTTTATTTTAGAAAGAGACAGACGCAGCGAGATAATGTTTTATCAGTTCTGATCGCAATCAAGTTGTGTGTTTTAATCTTTCCAAGAGGTTTCTCTTGGTACTCCTTTGATTGCGTTTTAAATTTACTCCGGTCTTTCCGAATTACAACTTACACTCTGCGTAAGCTGAGGGAAATTATTGTGCCGTCAATGGTACTTTAATAATAATTTGTACATTGGTTTATTTTGATCCTTTTTACGAAAAAAAAAAAGGAAAACTATATAAGGAAATATTGTTGCTACTCCGTTTAATCTTAAATTGCTTTATTTCTCACGGTGCTAAGGAAGTGTGAAGGAAGCGGAAGAATTTGACAAACTTCCAATAGAAGAGTCCAAACGGAGATTGGGGATCTTGCTGACCAAGATGGATCTGAACGACGACAAGTATATAGAAAGAAACGAGCTGAAAGCTTGGATCCTGCGTTCATTTGGGTATATTCGTTTAACTTAATAATGATAATCTTTGTTAATCGAATTGACACAGCGTGTATTAATGAAATTCGGCAAACAGCATGCTGTCCGCAGAGGAATCTCAGGACCGCTTGGACGATGCTGATACAGACGAAGATGGCAGAGTGACTTGGGACGAAGTCCTGCAGGATATTTACGGCAGCGATCCCGACGACCTGGCGCATGACGATAAGCTGATCGAAGACGACAAGGAGACGTTCGAGGCTGCCGATTTGGACAAGGATGGTTACTTGGATTCGGAGGAATTCAAGGCTTACACTCATCCCGAGGAGACGCCGAGAATGTTCCCGCTTCTGTTGAAGCAAGCCTTGCAGGACAAGGACACGGATAAGGATGGTTATATCAGCTTTCAGGAGTTCATCGGCGATAGGGCCAAATCGAAGGACAAAGAATGGTTGCTGACCGAGAAGGACAAGTTCGATTACGAGCATGACAAGAACGGAGACGGCAGGCTCGATTCGGACGAAATTCTCTCCTGGCTTGTACCAAGTAACGAGTGAGTGACTTTTTCCTTACGCTATAATTATTTTAATATGTGATAAAATGTTGTAGTGACACGTTTTGTTGCGAAATTTATTCATATCCTTATCAATATCCTTCTTACCGTGTATTCCAGAGAGATAGCGAGCGACGAGGTGGATCACTTGTTCGCGGGTTCCGACGACGATCATGATAACAGATTGTCGTTCGACGAGATCTTGGATCATCACGACGCTTTCGTGGGTAGCGAGGCGACCGATTACGGCGATCACTTGCAGGACATCGAACGCTTCACGGACGAGCTGTGAGAAGTTGCGCCCGCTCGTTGAATCAAAGAGCTACATGTTTCGTAATACTCATTGGAGATTCGCATGGCTGATGAACATGAGTTCTAGTATTTTTCAACGCATCCCACTCGATATCCGTTTGTTTCGATTTGCTCGCAGCCATTAGAATTCTGATCACGGCGAGATCTCTGCACGCCCATGTATATTTCTAAATTCATGAGTATAGCGTATCACAATATGAATCATCGTCTTCCAATTTTTACCAAACTTCGAGTGCCATATTAGAAAATGCGTAAAGAAGTGAATTGAAGGGAGAGAGAGAGAGAGAGAAATCCTTGTTTCTCATTTCGCAAGTGCATATAGAGTTGCTTAGTTTAAATTCTAGCGACGATGTCATTATTACGCTGTACATATTTATTGTACTTGTATCGCACACGAATGGCACAATCTTAGGTTCGCAACGAGGAGTTCAATGACGATTTCTATACTCGGCATTAAAACGAGTTTCACTTCTTCCTTTAGCACTTTAGCAAATATGTGTATAATTTATAAAGAAAATCTTGACAAATGTGCGCATTGTGACCGATTTTTCTAATAAAATATTTTAACAATTCCACGCGCCCCTTGTTATTCCTGCCGAAATATGTTGCATTAATGACTGAATGTGTTTGAATCAAGCACGGCTGTTATATATTTATTCGTTCAGCTATATGCTTCGTGCTTCCCTGCGAGATTTTTGAAATTTTGAATATACGATAACGTGTTTTCATAAAAAGCATCCTATTATTTTATCTCCATATGTATCAGAAAAAAAAAGGGTATTATTGGGTCTGTTCGTTTTCGCTACACTAGTGCGATAAGTTGAAGTGAAAAAATATATTCTTGTCTCGCTTCAACTTATCGCACTAGCTCAGCGAAAACGAACAGACCTCTATTGTTCCTACATAGGATATCTCTAGGGAATAATAAATAACTCATATTGGTAATTGATCGGACTTTTCTGGAAATGGAAATAATATAAGGTTGGCTGCTATGGTCCAGAAGCTTGAAAATTTGTTCGCTTCGTTTTATTTGAATGTGATCGTAACGTGAGGTGTGTTGAATGTTATCGTGAATAAACGGATAATACTGAATCTCTAAACAAATAAAATGCCGTACGCCAATCAACCATCAGTCCATATTTCAGACTTGACCGAGGAGAATGTTAAGTTCCAAGTGGAGGATACGGAATTGAGGTGAGACAGGTTAGATTTACTCATCAAAACAGATTCAATTTGGGTTAACGTATCGTTGAATTTTAGCGTAGCGAACAGCATGAGACGTGTTTTTATCGCTGAGACTCCAACAATGGCCATCGATTGGATACAACTGGAGGCCAATTCCACCGTGTTAAGTGATGAATTCTTAGCTCACAGGATTGGAATGATACCATTGATCAGTGACGATGTATGTTAAACAGATGCTTACTGCTAGCACTGAAAATCTATAGTACACATAACATTAATTATAGATCTTTAGTACTGCCAGTGAGTTTCAGAATGCACTCGATATAACACCAATAGGACATTTTGTGCGTTTAGGTAGTCGACAGAATACAATATACGAGGGATTGCCAGTGCATGGATTTTTGTCCGGAATGCAGCGTGGAATTTACTTTGGACGTTAAATGCACCGAAGATCAAACTAGGCACGTGACCACTGCGGATTTCAAGTCAAGTGATTCCAGAGTATTACCGGTCACATCTAGACACAGAGAAGACGATGCGAGCGAGTATGGAGAGACAGATGGTTGGTATTCTTTTCTTTCATACGTGACTATTTTAACAAGCGGAAAGTGCTGAAATAAAAAAATATATATTTCAGAGATATTGATAGTGAAACTGAGAAAAGGACAGGAACTGAAACTAAGAGCATATGCAAAGAAGGGTTTTGGGAAAGAGCATGCAAAATGGAATCCAACTGCTGGTGTAAGCTTCGAATACGACCCAGACAATTCTATGAGGCATACTTTGTTTCCCAAGCCAGACGAATGGCCTAAGTCAGAGTACAGCGAACTAGAAGAAGACCAATGTAAGTATATGTAATTTTTATCCGAGAGATTTACGGTAAAACATATGTTATCGTCATGTGTGTTTTAGATGAAGCGCCGTTTAATTGGGAAGCTAAGCCGAACAAATATTACTTCAACGTCGAAAGTAGCGGCGCCCTGAAACCGGAAAATATCGTCATAATGGGAATCGTGGCGTTGAAGAACAAATTGTCGAATTTACAGACACAATTGAGCCATGAAGTGCAAAGCGACGCGTTAAGCATTCATCATTAAATTGTATTATTAAATTATGCTAGACAGGGCTGTAAGTTTATACCTAGGAAATAATTCGGGTACTTTTCATTGAAATAAAGTATCCCAACTATGGAGATTGAATTATACGATCACATTATTTAAGAAACGAACTTTTGTATCAGTCTAATATTTAAGTACTTTGTATGCAGTGACCTTTAGTACGCTCCAAAGTTGTGCCATTTTAAAATTACCTATCGTGATATTTACATGGACTTTTTCACGTGGACAATGTAAACTATATATAACATTATAAATAACATAGCAGAGTGCAAAGAGAAAAGGTAAATTAGTCTAAAATAGTTTAAACTATTAAACTATAAAATAGTATCTCATTTTGATGTTAATTACGAAGACACTTGATATTAACAATCGAAAAGTTTATATTGTTCGCGTGTAGACGTAGGTTATTATATTCTACACGTAAATCCCGAACTCAACCCTAGTGTCACTTCGATCAGATACGTCGATTATTTAACAGTTTGGACTAAAATTTAAATCAATAATTTATCTCTTTCTCTTTGCACCATGCTTATGTAATTTATAATATTCTACGTGTAGTTTGCATTATCCTTCTAAAGAAAGGAAGTCCGTATAAACATCACACGGATAAAATTATCCGTGTGAGACGTGATTTTGCGACCGATAATTCCCTGACTTACCGTTCCCGTCGTGATCGCTACTGTCACTCGGGGACCGACAGATGGGGCGAGCTTCGCCGTTACAGCCGTGTGTCCGGTCAGTCCGGCGTGATTCGGCGGTGCAGCGGGTGTGCAGCAGCATGGTGAGCGGCGGCGTAGAGAGCGACAGTAGTGGCTAACATACGGGCAATAGCGGGACGGTGCGCGGGTGCGGTCGTGTCGGCCGTATTGCGCTCGGTTGACGACTATGCGCTTATAGCGGCGTTGTTCGCTCGTTGCAAGCTCGCGAGAGAACGCAATTCGCGCTAGCTGGGCCGAAGAAGCTCCCTTCTAGAGTGATAAGAGTGTTGCCTCCCGTCACGTCGCTCGGACCTGGCAAAAATGTAATATCCGCGAGCTGGACCTCGGAAGTCCCCCTTCAGCCACCGGGAACCACCACCATCGTCGCCTTCGCCACGGTACGAAGCCTAGAAAACTCCATTCAGTCGCGACTTTTTAGCCCGCTAAACGCTCACAGTTCTTAGACGTATCGATCGGCTCGGACTGTCTCTCTCTCTCGAGAGAGAGAGAGAAAGAGAGAGAGAGGGAAAGAGAGAGACAGGGAGCATGGATACGCGAGCTTGCGTCGGCTACTCTGCGTTTCTATTCGCTCCTTCAAGCACGAAGACGTCGCGGAAGGTTGATAGCCGGAGCCGAAATCGGAGAGGAAAACTCTCTCTGTGCGTCGCGTTTCGTCTCGATCTCACGTATACCGGAAACGATCGAACCGTGCGAGCCGATCAACAAACGAGTCCCCCTGTGTTAACAAATTCTCCCCCTCTGCACTTACCTACGCCGTAAGTAGGATTCTCGTGTAAGAAAGAACGGCGTGTCGCGCTACCGAGCGCATTAGTTAACCCAGATATCGCCGGACGGAGCCGTGACGGAATTCCTTCGCACGCAATGGCGCGTTTAAATCGCCGATCGAGGTACCGAAGCAAGAAGATCGGGCGAGCCACCTCTAAATTTCTATCGATACATAATACTCGCATCCTTCGATCCCTCGTTCGGGGCGGGGGAGGGGGGGGGGTTGGTCGGTCGTAAAAAAGCCGCACACGCTTTTGCAATTCGCGTCGTCTGTGCGTCGAATGAGAAAGACGCAACTCCCGGGGAATTCCTCGAAAACAAATCCCTTCCCGTTGAAAACGCGCGTCCGAAACTTGTAAGAAGCGGAGTGTCGCAACTTTTTTGTGACTGACCATTCATTCGTTCCCGAGAGTATAGCGACCCTCTCTTTCGCGCAAATAGTTCGCCGCGGACACGCGGAATCGATTGTAAACACGTGCACGCATATAGCAGCCGCGCGGACCGACACGGACATTCCTTCGCGTGGCTCGCACAGTTGCGAGCCGCCGCAAGGCGCATCGGTAGTCACGTCGGCCGCTCGAGGCGAATTGGCGAGTGCGCCGTATGCCTAATGAGCGACAATGATCGCGCGAAACCGGAGAGAAGTAACCATGCGCGCGCGAGTACACGAGCGCGCAGTGACCGTCGTGATGCGCTTTACCGACGATTATTCGCAACGTGCGGACAGGTCACCGTCGCTTTCGGCGATAACTTGGACTTTAACGATGATGTCACGCGCGGCTGAATTCAATGCGCTGCGCGGATTATTCTTGCTGTCGATTAGGAGCGTGCTAACACAATCGGATAACATGAGTGCGTGAGAACGTTTTTAATGTGTGGAAATATACGCGAGCAGCAGCCTTGACGATCCATTCGTCTCGATGCTCGGAAAACACGCGGAGGACAAAATCCAACGCGCTAGGCTCACATTGTTGTTCATTGTTCGCCCTCGGCGTTTGCTATTAGAGGAGGAGGAGAGAGAGAGAGAGAGGAAAACTATTCCCTCGTACTCCCACACGCGTTCCCGTTTGCACCGCGTATATTCATGGCGATGAATGATTGCTGAAATTTTCGAGACGGCTCGGTGAGACAGGGGGAAAATCAATCGAATCCCGCGCGATGTAACATCATGTTGTGAAATTTACCGGCGAAAATAACATCGTGTTCCCATATAGGAAATTCCCATACAGAAAATTACGAGAAAATGACTGTGAAATTAATTTTCTTTTCAATAATTTTCTCATCACTTTGACATTATTTTCACGTCATCGTCATTTTCTGCCCTACTTGGAGGGTTTCTCTAATAAAAAGATAATCCCCATTGTCACCCCCTCCCCCCTCCCCCTCTCTCTCTCTCTCTCACAAATACACTCCAGACGTTCCAATAATTTATATTTATACATCTAAATTCCTTGCAAATTTCACCTATCTATTATGTCATTATATATCTGGCCTCAACCTTGCCACTTCTTGCAAAGCATATCCAGCGCCGATCTTGAATTTAATTTCTAACGCGAGAAAGGAAAATGACATCGCGGATCGCAGATTTACTGCCGCCCGGGATCGATTTTATTGCCACCAGCGGCGTTAAATCGGCCAATGTTTCGCTCCGAACTGTGAACTCGCGCGCTCGATATTACGGATACGTTATACGATTGAAAGCCGCCCCGCCGTAATCCCGTTATCCGAATTGTCGTCGTCGTGTAAATCGCCGTAATTTCTAGACTTTTCTTATTTTACAACGAGTTTACGACGCTCGTTTCGTCGCTCGGACGGGGAGGACAACGTCGTCGTCGGGGACGATCGATCGGCTTTCTTAAAAGAAAAGCGCGTCTTCGGGATTTCTAAAAATAATCGATCGCGCGGCAGTTGCGCGTGCGAGAGAGAGAGGAGAAGAGCAGAGAGGATAATATCTCCCCCTGCAGCTGAAGGAAGGAGCTCGAAACGAGTATTTCTCGCGTATTAGCGCAAGCTATCCGCTTGCTCAACGCGGTGCTCAACGTGTTCGATCGCAAATGGACCGAGCCAGCCGTTCCACTTTCCATGAATCGGGATCGCTTTTCATCCGCTCTCGTAAAAACGCCATGCAACATGTCCATACGGTTCGTACGAATCACGAACGTCCGAGGACACACTTCGAGGGGCTTCTTCACGAAAAGTACACGACGGTTGAATCTTCCGGTTAGCTCGTATCCGAATGTTTCGTCGCGGATGCGACGCACGTCTCGGATCATTTCTCGTCAGCACGCCGAGATATCGAGAGAGAAAGAGAGAGAGAGAGAGAGAAGGAGGGAGAAAAATACACGGTCTCATCGATCCATTCACTCTCACTGCCGTTTAGCCGCGAAGCAGCGTCTTTTCTTCTTCCGTTTACGGAGCGTTCGCTCCTTTCCGGTGCTCGTTTTCAACTACTTCTTCGCCGCGATCGCGGTCGCGTGTTCCATTAACGTTCGAGCTTCTTTGAAGCCGTTACTTCACGCTCACACTGAACAATTTATCGGGCACACTTTTAGAGCCTCAGCAGAATGGCCGACTTATTAGTTCGAGACAACGTGCCTTACGCCTTGTTTTGTCCGAGACAACAGCTTTTTAGTTTAAAACTTCAGACCCGCACGTAGGTGTGTTGCGCGTTACTTAAACGCGCAATATCTTTGATCGCGATATCTTTAGGACATCCTTGCGATGCATTTCTGCTGTGCTGGTCTTGTGCTTGGAGTTTTAAACTGTAAATTGTAAAAAGCTGTTCGGTTTGTGATTGATGGCGAATCATTGTATGATGGAAAACAAAATAAAAAAATGTAATAATTCAAACGAGATTCGGAACATAAAATATGTCATTCAAACTAAAAATTAGAATGTCTTATTTAACTAAGTTACAAGCAAGTAAATCATAAGCAAGCCGTTCTGCCGGGACCCTTAGGCCGATGCTCGTAGTCAGATCTGATATTTAAGATCGTCCTGACTTCATCTTCAACTTTGTAGTCGATGAAACGATTCGTACCAGGTGTCCACAGGTGAACTTGAGGCGATCTCGAATGTAAGAACTGACTATAAACACAGTCCTCTCTTAGTCACTGTCTAATCTGATGCGATATGTCGCACTGCAAAGCAGAATAATCCGTGCGGGATTGTTCGTCGCAAAGTAACGTTCTTCAGTCGACGTCATGTGTGTTGTTCCTAGATTTAAACTTTTTATTATTACATAATAAATTATAGCCGTATATACATGAGATGAAAACTTTATCATTAAAGTCATTGTAACTCTACCATTATAACTAGAGTTACCTATGCGATGTTTAACCTTACGCATTATGTATATAAGGTTGAAAATCGCGTGACTCCGTCTAAGGAATGGCACATAGTCGTGACGCCGACTGTATGTACTCACACCAAACCGGGCGCGTTTACTCGCTCGTTTCTCGCTTGAACCCTTTACTCGAGAACCCGGCGACGAGCCGGATTATCGAAAGCCGACGGTTGACTCGGCAGATCATTTTCGGCATTCGATCAGCATTCTGCATCCTTCCACACCACACCCTTCCGTTCTGACCTAGAAACTGAAAGGTGGGCGCGGCGTCCCTAGACAATCCCCTTTGAACTTTCCTACCCATAAACCGTCTATAATAGCCTGAGAGAGTGACGGAATGATGAAATCGAAAGGTTAGGTCCTCTGCGGCTCAAGCGAGCGAGCGTGCGTGCAGCCTCGAGAATGATGGAATCCGCAAACAATGTCGATCTCTGGCAAATTGTCAGAATCAAGTATCGCTCAGCGGATCAGCGTGGCAGCGAGAAAACCGCGCATCGAGCCTCTCTCTTTCTCTCTCCCCCCCCCCCNNNNCCCCCTCCCCCTCTCACTCTCTCTCTCTTTCTCTCATGCAAATCCTCCCGTTTTAGCGCGAGCGTCTCTTTCTCTCTTCTACCGAAAAAGAAAAGTAGAAGAAAGAGCCGATTCTTTCAGCGTCCATGTTTGCGCGGGCTACGCACTGTGGTCACGCGGTCTCATTGCCAAATATGGCTGGCCGCGGTATTCTTAGCACTGCTCGAGCGCGAACGACACTCGACGGAGCCGCCCGAGAGCATACCTCTCGTCGTCTTCGTCTTCGTTTTCCCCTTCGTCGTCTTCATGTTCCTCTTCTTCGTCGTCGTCATCGTCATCGTCGTCGCTCGTAGAGCCTTGTCATCGGCGTTTCTTAATGAAGGATAAATTAAGATGGGACGATTAACACGCGTGGCAAAGGACTGAACATGCCCAAATGGCACGCGCTGAATTCTTCATTCCTGAAGTATTCAGGAATCCTGAATTCTTAAAGTATTTCCTCTCCCTTTTCCCCCTTTTTCAGAGATCACCGGGGATTATAGGGGGATACTGTAAGAATGATTCGGGAAGTTACACGCACCACGATTGGAATTCCTGAAAACTTCTCGGAATATTCGCGCAGAATTATTTCATATCTACAGAACTATATATACTATATATACAATAGTGTTTAAGAACGGAAAGAAAAATACAAAATATTTATTACAATTCTCGCACTAGTATAAGTGTTATGTAATGCATGTTGTGCTTAACAGTTATATTGTTGAGTGAGAAATTTAGAGAGCAGAAACAGTTTTGTCGGCGGGATAGAAAATATTCTGCCGAGTGAATTTATCCTCGGGATCCGCGTTAATCAGAATAAAATATTACTAATTTGTTCTCACGGCGAAATTATTTGTAAATTCGGCAAAACAATTCAGCGAAGTGGCTTCAGTTGGTATTCTCAACGTTCGTTTCGCTATGTACTAACCGACAGGTTTCGCTGCGACGACATAAAATTTGCCAGTAAACTATTTTTCTCTCCGTGTGGGTATTCACTAAAGTGAATTATCCATAAATCTTCTGTTCACTGCTGTGCTGAATAGACGCGCAATCCGCAGATTAACTCGTCGAAGTGAAGTTGTGTCTCAAACTGTATCACGAAGTATCGAGATAGCAGGGGAGATATATCGATCGATGTAAAAGTTACAATAACATTGTAAATAAAATGAAGGGAGCCTTAACTAAAAGTAGTCTCTTGGCATTACAGAGTGAGAGAGAGAGAGAGAGAGAGAGAGAAGAAACGCTTGTGTATGTATAGAAGCAGGGGTAGATCGAGGTTTATCGCTGCGACGAGTGTGCGATCGCGCTTTCTCTCTCGCCGTACAGGGACGATCTTTTTTCCGCACGCATGTACTATTTATCGATCTATGACGTACATGGAATCTTCGTGCGGCGGCGGCACAAGAGAGTCTTCTTTGACTTTTTTTCTCGCGTTCCACGCGACCGTGTCGTCGATATCGTTGCTAAGCTGGGGAGCGCGCGGCCGGCTTGCCCGCGATATATCAGCCCTTTAACGCCAATTAGGCCATAATTAATTGATCGTCGAGAGCGGCCAACGAGATTATTAGGGTCAGTAACGGTAGTCGACCCGTAATACGAAACAGTTGAGACATGCACACACTCTGTCTCCTCCTCCGCGAATAATCTTTTTTGCATTCGTCCTAGTCTACAATAGGTACTTCAAGCCTTGAGCCTTAGAAGAAAATATAGAAGAAAACTCGATTGTGATTGGCCAATTTCTTAAATCTTACGCCTTAAATTCTCATTAGTAGACTTCCCGCTTTACATACCACGTGCGACATTTCATCGTCGGGGATACAATCGTCTCTCCCGACGATATGAATCCGCTAATCTCACGCTTCGTTAAGCCTGACTTGATCTGAAGTGGCATTTGGCGAATAGTGAGCGAGGGCACAACACACGCACAATAGGCGTATGACAATGAAAACACCAAGTATCCGCTTACTAAGAACTCTCTCAGCAGAAAACGAAACCGGTGTTGTTTTCCCCCCGTTGCACCGAGTCGAAGTTTCATCGTCGGTTAATTGTTATCGACGGGCGGGAGGACCAAGTTAGAGTTGCCCGCATGATCAGGCGAATCGCAGCGGACGGATTAATTCGTTAATCTGCAATTCGGATCATTTTTCTATAACCGAGTTTTTAGCTTTCGATGCATCCGTATGGCCGCTGTGTGTGAGGGGGTGGTGGTGGGGGGTTGCCGTAAACCAGCAGTGGGGGTATCGACCGACACAGTCGGGTACGGACTTTGCAGCGAGTAACACATTTAACCCTTCGCGGACGACGACTTTTTCGGCCGGATGAGGTAGCAGGACGAGGCGATTTTCGCAGATATGTCGAGTGTCTTTAAATGGAGCTTTCCGCTTAGCCGAATTTCGTCAGAATTGGAGGTCGATCTTGATGTGTCATTTCACACTTCGTAGAAAGAACATCAACAGCCAAGGAACCTTTCCAAGAACCAATAGTGCGTTCCTATCGGTTGGAGGTAACGAAATCTAACATAAACACCAACTGTCGCCTTTCGTCCGCAAAGGGTTAATCTGCCTTGACGCTCTTTGCTTAGGTCGAAGAAACCGAACGGGTCGGTCGCGCGGATTGCGACAAGCGATAACCGTGAGAGGATTTATTCGCTTATAATTAATTCTATAATATAGCTGAAGTTAACAGCTGGTATTCGTAGTCAGGGGGTCGATCTTGAAACGTAGTGAGAATGACGGGAGTGAGTGAACTCATTGAAATATTTATAATTTCATCGCTCAACGGTCAGAATTTACTTATCTTTTTTTATAATTCTCACCACATTTTGAGATATACCTCCCAATATTTAAGTCTCTCGAGTTGATCTTCAGATATATTGTAGTTAATGAAATCCGATCCGTACAGTTCATCTGAAGGTCAGCTTGAGATGATGTTAAGTATAAAATCTCGATGGGTGGTATTTATCTTCAAGTACGGATGGTTTTTCGGTAAAAAGCGGTTTAAAAGTGAATTTAAGACGGTCTGAAATATAAGATCCTACTATGAATACCGGTCTGCGTTCCGTAATCAACGGGTGGAGTAACATCTACTCGATCAGTCAGAACGAAAAGGATTTCTTTGTCACGATTAGTTAATTTCAAGGCATATTCTCGCAGCCGATACCTTCCGTCTTCACGATTGCGACGGTTGATCGTCCGTTAAACAATAATCCCGCTGATACCCGAATTTTTACTTTACAGTTTGTTCGCGTTCACCCTGTTCAGCGATCGCACGGCGGCGAGGTAGCCCTCGAAAAGCGCGAAACCGCAATGACGGGTCACGTGGCGGGGGGTCGCAAGGCATCGTCGCGGTTGTGGAGAACGAGATTCTTGGGCCGACCGGCCTGAGATATGCCAGCGATCGCGGTAACACCTCGATCCTCATCAACGACACCCTCGGCCGAAGCAGCGGAGCAGTGCCGATCGACCGCTGCCTCGTCGGGTTGCCGGGTCTACGCGACCCGACGCGACCTCTTCGTATCAGCGACCGTCGACCCGCGTCCGAGCAGGGCGGTGCACTGTCCGGACTTGAACGCCTGCCTGGTGAACGAGTCGCGGCCCGGCCACGAGCGGGTGGACTGTCGGACGATCCACTTCGGCTACGCGATACCGATCAACGTCGTGCCGGTTCGCGAGTGCCCCGAGCTCGTCGAGCTGCTGTTGGACCACTCCGCCGGCGAGCTGACCGGCCGGGCGGTCGACTTCCTGCTGGACCACCATCCGCAGCTGCGCCAACGGCAGCGGTGTGAGATGGCAGCGACGGCCAAGCACGATCTACGCCGCAAATTCCCCGCGGAGACGTCCTCCGGCGAGGAGGATATCGCCGCGATCGCCAAGCAGATCAGCGACCACGCGGAGGCGATCTATCAGACGTGGAAGAGCCGCGGCTTGGCGCCGACGGAGATCCTCACCTGCCACAGCAATGCGACCGCCGTCGACAAGTTCGGCAGCGCGCTGACGCCCTGCAATTCGGGTAGCACCAGCAAGCCCTCGCGTTCGCCCTCGCCGACCGACATACTGGCGCAAACGCCGAATCTTGACAACGGCAACCTGGAGAAGCTAGTCAACAATTTCGTGGTAGAAGATAAAGCCAGGATAGCCGCGTCGAAGCAGCAGAGGTCGTCGCCGAAGCCGTTACCGTCTTCCATACAGTTCGCCTTGCAGAAGTTCGAGAGGAACTCCGCGCAGCAGCAGCCACTATCGACGAAGAACCACGTGGCCGACGGCCACTCGAAGAAGTTGACCAACATTCTGTTGTCACCCACCTCGCCGTTCTCGAACAAACCGTCGCAGATAGTGAAGCCGCAGGTGGCCGCGAAGACGCTCCCCGGCTCTCACCACTGCGAGGTCCTCCTGGAGACGATCGAGACCACCTTCCCGGCCGAGCTGACGCCCGCCAGTAAGAGAGCGACGCAGCAGAAGAGGCCAGCCAGCACGTTGATCGCGCCCACCGGCTCCTCGTTGGACATCGAGGCCGGCTCGGGACTGACCACGTGGCCGTTGAAGAACAAGCTGAACGATGCCAAGAGGATCGCCGACTCGATGGTGTCTCGCGCGAGACCGTCCCAGCCGGACGACGATGTCACCGCGAGAACGTCGCCGGCGGAGAGGAACACGCGATGCGCCTATCTCGACGAGGTAGCGCGCGAGGAGGAAAGACTGATCAATGCTTTGAAGACGGGCGCGGTCATCAGCGAGGAACGGACGCGGCAGAAACCGGCCATCAAGCGAGAGAAGCCGAAGGTCGAACCGGTCAAGCAGATCATCATCGGCAGCCATCATCACGGGGCCGGCTGCTCGACGGTTGCGACCGTCGGCCATATGATGGTGAACGAGTCCAAGCCGCTCAGCAAGGACGACCTGTCCGCCATGTCGGCGGTGGATTACGCCAAGGTCAGGTACCAGGCTGCTCAGCAGAACCCGCCGACCCAGCAGCGGCTCGAGGAACAACGGGCTTCTTCCGGACAGCCGTACAATTCTACGGAGCAGCTGGTCTCCAGCGCGAGGACGAAGTTCGAGATGGAGATACGCAAGGACAAGGACGTCAAGGACTGGCCGGACGGCGAGAACAGGTGGAGGCCGAGGATCACTTCGCCACGACCGCGACTGGAGCAGGCCGTGCCTCATCCGGAGCTGACCAGCCAACAGAAGCAGCATATAAGGGCGGTCGCGGCAACCGGCACCGGCAACAATCCCGTCAGGCCGTTCCTCACGAGAGGCTCCGTGGCGGAGCGCGTGCTCATCTTCGAGAAGTGCCCGAGCGAGCTGCTGTTGGACAAGCGCGGCCCACGTCAGCCGGCCATCAATACGTGGAGAAGCGGGCACGAGGTGCAGAGCAAGGCTCAGGTAATACGGGGCTTCGAAGGGGGTGGGTTTACCACGCTGAGAAAGAGATTCCTTCAAATGTCCTCAACTTCACTGAACAATCAAGGAAATTTCCTCACTTGGCATATTCAATCTAAGGGGAGCTTTTTCTACGTGTAATTAAATTATTTTGTAATAGTTCGTTTCGCTCGTGTTATTTATGTATTTAGTAGCAGTTACCAAATCCTCCTTTCAGTATCGATTCTTCTTCTGGTTCGTCGAGAGATTCGTCGTCGGTTGTTCTCTCTCTTTCTGTTTGCGCATTATTAGCGAAAAGCCGCATTCATATACTATGCTTGTCCACCCGTCCGTAAGTCCGCACGTAGGCAGACGAGTTATATCCGCCTGCATCGGTATTAGCACGTGGGTGTGTACGTTGCTCGAGTGCAAAACGGTGAAAGTTTCACCGTTGAAATAATTCAGGGACGGCGATTGTTTTACATTGTTTAAGCGAGATAGAGCACACAACTGCGCAACGTAACGGATAATTATCGCGAAAAGGAAATTGCCTCTGTCACGATCGCAATGCGAGGACCTCTCTTAAAGGATAAAGTCTCGTTATTCGCGCTCCATCGGCCTCAAGATTGACCGCGTGAAACAAAGGTGGTTTAAAAATAAAATGGAAAAAAGGATAGCTTTTTTTAACACACGCGCTCTCTCAGAAGGCGAGTTTTGCCCGCCGATATTTAGCACGTGCACAAGGGCTTCCCGTGCGAGAGAACCCGTGCGGCTATTATCGTGCCACGTGAACCGAGCAGCAGTCGTACAACGGCTGTGATGTAACCAGCCGTGGCAATGCGCGCCTGATCGCCTCTTTGCATTCCTCGAAATCTTCTTACGGTGTCTCGTAATAGGATGTGCCGTCGTGTGTCCTTGATCGCCCCGGCGTTCGTAACGAACTCGCGGGAATGCGAGCCTGAAAAGGAAGAGGCTCGTCTCGCGATCTCTCTCGAACGATTCGACGTTTCCTCGCGCGAATAGATATCGTTGTCGTTATCCGCGCGAATATCAAAATGGTAACCGGAGCGTTACTCCTTCTCCTTGCAGACTTACACGAGAGAAAAGACTCAGCAGAAGAGCCTGCCGCCACATACGACACTACAGAGGCAGGTGAAAGCCAATAGAAATGTTTACATACCGAGGTTCGTGTTCCGGCGAGCATCGACGAGTATCCGTTTTCATTTTGATTCGAGGTAGTCGGCCCGTGAATCGATTTTCCCACAAATCTTCCCGAATTTCAACAGCATAGTGTCGTGTCATTAACCGTTATACCTCTATCGTCACGGACCAACTACCTTATAATCGACGGTTGACAGAGACGTTCTGTTAATTTCGTATTATCTTATATGTGTGTCATTACTCACTTACTTCGTAGATTTTATTTCCCCGGAGGCAAACCAGTCCCTCTGCCGCAATTGGAGGGCACCATCTCCAAGATCACCGCGGCCTTCCAAAGCCTGCCGAACTGTCGTGCTTTTCGCGCCCAGTTCCATACGATCACGAAGGTCAGAATTTACGTCTTCGCAGAGCAGCATTTTTTCAGTGATTTACAAGAGTATTCTTACACTTAAGAGTGAAATTTACAAAAGAATCATACGTAACACGGTTGGTTAATACGGTGTACGCAAAAAGCCATCGTGAAGCCATTGTGGAAAACATGTTTACGATACTACTATTTTTACATTCCTGCATGTTACATATATATATTCTCGTATCCATTTTTTGCATATGTTCTGCAATGCAATATGTCATTTTATTTCCTTACTACTACGTAGGCTTGCGACTTGCCGTTGTATTGGAAAATACCGCTTTTCCTGGCAGCGGACGGCGATCCGAAGGGATACGTCGAGATGAATGCTTTCCTGGAATTTTGGAAAGAGTAAGTTGCGTAACATGCGATTTTCTTGAGAAACGTATTAAAGAATATTAACACAAGTATATAAAGTCCGTAAAGTTTGCAAAAAAGATATATGGAGCTAAATTTTCTCTTGTCTCTTTGTTCAAGGGAAATTCGTCGCGCTAAAAATTTTGCTGGCGCTTCGCCGATAATAATGTTTATAATTACTGCATTACTATACAGTACTGTGTCTCAATCGTTGCAGACTGACAAGTACTCACTACGACGCAGCTAGCAAATTTATCAGAATCGTCACCCGGGGCCTCCGAAGCAATATACTCCCGGAGGACCTGATCCCGCTCGTGCAGGATGTGGTGGAAACCCACCCGGGATTGATATTCTTGAAAGAAGCCACAGAGTTCCATTCCCGCTACGTACACACGGTTTGTACGATCTCTCTCTCGTTTTTCATAAAAAAATCTGTCAGAAATATTTCCTTCTTGCTGAGTACTAGAGAATTAACGGAAAGGTCCGCGACTTACAGGTGATCGCTAGGATATTTTACTGCGTGAATCGGAGTTGGAGCGGCAGAATTTCAGTCGCGGAGCTGAGAAGGAGCAATCTCCTGTCGGTGATCGCCGTGCTTGAACATGAGGAGGATATCAATCAGGTCACAGCATACTTCAGCTACGAACATTTTTACGTGATATATTGCAAATTCTGGGAGTTGGATCGCGACCATGATCTTTTCATAGACAAAATGGATCTGACGAGGCATAACGATCATGGTAGGGGAATTGTTTGAAAGTGGAATGCTGTAACTAGAAATATGTACCATTCTTCTTCTGGTATGTGTAAAATTTCCCTGACTCCGTGAATAATCGTCTTCAGCGTTGTCGACACGAATGATCGAGAGAATATTCAGCGGCGCGGTGACAAGGGGAGTAAAGAGCAGCAACGGTGCGCAACAGCCGGAAGACAAGATGAGTTATACGGAATTCGTTTGGTTTCTTCTCAGCGAAGAGGATAAGAATCACCCGACCGCCATTGAATACTGGTTTAGGTAAATTATTCCGGTTATGTCGGAGGGCGGTAGAATTTTGGGTGTGCATTGTTTGCCTCTTAGTACGTGTGTTATGATTTTGCGTCGATAGATGCATGGATCTCGACGGCGACGGTTACTTGTCGATGTACGAGTTGGAGTACTTTTACGAGGAGCAATTGCATCGAATGGAAGCGATCGGTCTGGAAACATTGCCTTTCGAGGATTGCCTCTGTCAGGTGATATGAGAAATCGTGAAATTTCTTGTTGAAACAAATACGAAAATAATACGAGTATAGTCCAAAGACGCGGCTATAATTCATTTGCTCTAGATGTTGGACATGATTCATCCAGCAACGCCGGGCAAGATATCGTTGAGCGACTTGAAGAGATGCAAGATGACGTCCATCTTCTTTGATACCTTCTTCAATCTAGAGAAGTACCTGGATCACGAACAGAGGGATCCGTTTGCTTCGACAAGGGATCACGATGCAGACGGCCACGAGGTAATTATCTACTTTTCAAATTTTTTTCCCTTTGTTTATCGTCTACATTTGTTCCAACTTACCACGCCAAAGACATATTGTGGAAGTGATTTCGAAGTAACTGGTTTATTAGTGAAAAAAATATATAGTTATGATAAAAAAATATATTTAATAATAAAATTATATATGTAATTATATATATGATTTATTATTACCTGTTAACATAATTATAAAAATATATATTTAATAAATATACTATAATGGCATTTTTATTTTCGACAGCTCTCCGACTGGGATCGATTCGCCGCAGAAGAGTACGAGTTGTTGGTTGCTGAAGAGAGCGGCAATGAACAACACGAACAAACGTAAGTATTATTTTTCGGACGCTCACAATTTATATATAAAAGAAGAAAAGAACGTTCCTCTGAACTTTTATATTTGGTGGCGCGGCACGCGACCAAAAGTGGCATATACTACATATACATACATAAATATATTTTCACTATTGAATATATAATTATATGTATACGAATAGATACAGTTCCGGCGTATTATTAAGTACCTACTGCGTGTTTTATAGATATCATATACTCGACATCAACTAACAGTACGTATTTCCCTTTTATCATAATTATAATGACAATGGTGCGATATGTACGTTTGTTGCAGGCTGTGTGATGATGAAATGTAACCATCATCTACAGCTCAGTAAGTAAAGAACAAGAGAGGATGCTGAAAAGATGCATGTGTTTAAACATAGATTAACACACCGAATTAACGTCCGAGCTTCTTTCGTATTTGTTTCAGAAGTTTGTTGAAAATATGCGATAACGTCTAGCATTCTTCTTTTGCTAATTTTATCTCTTTTGTCGAGATATCTTGCGATATATCTCTATAATATTTTATTGTACCTGTTCTCTAATATATTTTGGACGTACATGTATATGTCGTTATTTACGTTTTGCACATATATATATATATATATATAAATCTTTCAATTTATTCATTTATTAATACAAATATCAATTAATTTTTCCACAATATCGTTTCCACGTATATATTTGCATTTCTATGAGGCTTTTAGCACGATAACTTTACGGTTAAGTTCTAATATATCACGAGTACACGGAAATTTTTGACAGTGTTAAGGGGGTCTTTCTGGCTGCTGTCCGAATTAAAAATCTTCTTAGATAATCACGATGTCGGCTTGATTCGAAAAACGAAAAAAAGCTCTATAATTTGTTAACTTCTCTTCGTTTTTCGAGTCGAGCAGAGTCGAGCCTACGTTAACGTGTGTATTGTAATTGCGCCGAAGGATTTTTAATTCTGCGCAGCTGGTAACGAGTACGGTACTAAAAAAATTGGCGATAAAACACTAGGACGACTCCGGGAGGATCCCCTTAAACGCCCAAATATTTTTTTTTCCTTTCTTTTTAAGAGTAAAGGAAGATACACTGTCTTAATATTTCGCGATTCGAATGAACTACTACGATATGACCCGATAATTTAATCACAATCGTCTTACTCGCAGGTCGTACAATATTGCGTCAGGGGACGCGTTATCGCCAAATCTGGACATCTTGATGGACGATTCGGTGGATATGCTTAAGGGCGCGAATTTACTGAATACGAATTCATTGGATATTCGCACGCAGCAACGGTCGAAGCACGACGATAGCGGCGACAGCGACGATTACGCCGACAGCGACAATTGATTTTTCCCAAAATCGCACGCACTTTTCGGCCACACAATTGGAAGGAGAGAGAGAGAGAGAGAGAGAGAGAGAGTCAACAGGGAACAACGGAGCAACGGTGTTGCGAAACCGTTCGAAGGACGGAACGCGTCCACTCGACGCGTAATCCTTTCTTCCGCTATCATTACGTGTGAGGTCCACCGATTGCGACATAACCGGATATCTATCTTCGCATTACTGATACTGCGAACCGCACTCTTCGATAAACTTTTCACACGCGTCCCAGGCGTCCGTGTAAACGTTAATCGTGTCCCCTTATTCTCGAAACGCGATATTTCCTTCATTATAGTATGCACTGGTTTAGTACATTGCAAGGTACACGATTGCACACAGTACAAATAGATTATGTAGATATCTCGAGATGCTGCAATGTTACAGCACATATATATGTATATATACATATCTATATATTTATATATACATATATATATATATATATATAGCACATACATATACAGCATATATATTCACACACATATACATTCGTAACGATATGTATAAGTCCATTAGGAATCTGACCACTGCTGCCCAACCATGTGATACGTAGAGTGCTGTTCAATGCGCACAGCATACGTTGTGTATGCCACACATTGTACATAGAGCGTTGTGTCGACCATCGACTCTTACTTCCGGCTATCACAAGAGCCGAGAATACGAATCTCAATCACGTGGAAATCTCGTATACTCCGGAAAAATAGAGTTCTCGAACACGAATCTGTAATACGATCGGTTTGAAATCATCTGTATAGCTGATGATACACTTTTGTACAAGAGAGTCGCCCGCAATAAGTTGTTTTCTCGATAGTAGGGATACTCAGTAAGTATGACACGAACGTGTGTGCACTTTGTAAATACACACTGTGTATTTGAAAGAAAGGAAGGAAGAAGAGGGAAAAGTAAGTCGATAGAAATCGGAGTAGTAAATTATTTTGTACAATAATGTCTCTTCCGTAGGAACGTACGTATGTTGTGCAAGGATCTGCAAAGAACGGTGTTATCCCTTGTAAGACGATTCGTTGTTATTCGTTGTTATTTGTATGTTGTGCACGAAACGTTTTCAAGTCGAGTATAAACGAGAAAAGTAACGCAGTATGTAATCTCCTCGGGAACATCGGAAGAGAGGCAGATTATTTTCTTACGAGTTTTCACTTTCTCTCTCCACACGTTATGTGCTGTATCGTCATATCAGACCTACTAGTAATCGCCAATAGAATGTGTTTGTGAAGGTCTGATATGTATACCAGATTTTATATATATATATATATATATATATATATGTTTGTATGTATGTATGTATGTATGTATGTGTGCGTAAAGGTGCTCACCGAGCTATCATGTAACAATTTCTGTATATTTAATACGGTAGAACGATGATTATAAAATGTTGTCGATGCTTTCGTTTTCCTAGTCACATGTTTTTCGCAAGTACGATTAAAAACGAACGAGCTACGTAAACAAAGTAAAATCACGAGTCTCAATTTTTATACGATTTTTTTTTTTTTTTTTTTTTTTTTTT